GGTGAATCGCCACAGCACCAGCGAGGAGGAGGAGGTCGCGGAGGCGCCAGCAGTCGCCGTCGAGGAGGAGGACGGAAGCGACATTGACGGTGGGAATGTTGATAACTTCTCCGCCATTCCGCTTCCGCCAGGCTTTGAGGAGGAGCCGGAGGGCAGCGACAGCAGGAACGTTGATAACTTCCCCGCCGTTCCGCCAGGCTTCTCTCCACCGCTGCGCTACAAGAAGGCCAGGATCCCTCCATTCCCGCCTGTCGAGATCGTGTCTGATGATGACGAGGAGGAGGACGATGACGAGTGGAGCAAAGACACTGGGTCGGAGGCATCCTCCTCCTCTGGCAATGGCGGGGGCAACGACATCGAGCAAGACTAAGTCGATTTTAAGTGTAGTTAATACCAACAGCCTAGCCCAGTAGTACAATGGCGGGTGCATTGTAGTGTTTTTGAGGTGTTATTTTTATGTATTTTGGAGTGCCCTCATAAGCATTCCCCATGTACCTATATTATAACATTAGAAATGAACCTAAGTATTCTACTATTACAGTGCTTCATTCTTCATTATCTCGCGGTCCTTCTTCCTCCTCTCAGAGGAGGGCGCGCCAGAGAAATAAACCAATTTGCAAACACAACAAAGATGGCACACTAGTTTAGCTGCAATAATGACAACATCCATCCTAGACGAAATTAACAGGTCCATAGACAATCAAATAACATTGGTCTATTTGAACATGTCGTGACAGAGAGATACATCAAATGCAGCTTGATTCACTACTTTGCTAATGACTCCAAGAACAAGAACAAGGGAACATAAGGAAGAAAGTTAGGTCTGCTCATGAACCCTGACAGGACGCTACGTCTACCATACCAAAAGACACGGGCAGGGATGGCATAAACTTTTCTACGGTCCATGTCATACGCGATGAATCATCTTTCCTCCTCAACAAAGAAAATCAAATTCTATTTTTGGTGAACTGTAATCGCTGTGTAGTCCGCCACATAATCCACATAACCAAATTAAATATTAGTCTTTCCAAACACCTTCAGCGTGCTGACAGTATGCTTCAATGCTTATTTATTAGTAGCATAGTTTTCAAGGATCCAGATTGAAAGCTAGGACATATTGTGACCACCAACAGTACATGCACACAAGTGACCCTGAGCTTGATGGATAGAGGGTAGAGTACCACGAGGCCTAGGAATTTTTCTCCATGTCTTTCCCTCCATATCCACTGCAAGTATCACAGAGTACCCCATAATGTGCAGAAAATCATTAAGAAATACACCTGCTGGTCTTGAACGTATCACATCATCAATGTCCTGGCCTCGTTCAGATTCCTTATAGATCCATTCTGCAGTTTCAGATGTGTAGATCTCCACACCTAGGCACTTAGCATCCTCATGCTCTACAAATTCAATCACATGGAAGTGTGAGGAGGCTGTCGGATCGAACCCCAATCGAGCCTGACCAACAGCATGGATGCTAGGCGGCAGTACCCATAAATTCTTGATTGCTGAATTGCAGACGACATAGAGGGATCCAGCACCAGCAACCTCAACGCACGAGCATAGGACGAGGCCATTGCAACAATCTAAGACAGCTACATTGTACCTGGGGAAGGGCAAGAAGGACAAGTCAGGGTGTTCACCTATGAAGCTGGTGAAGTTTCGCATGTTGTTTTCTCCGTCGTAGAAGAAGCCGGCCATAGTCTGGGACAGCACCTTATGGTTGTCGAAGATGAGGCTGTACCAAGAGCGACAGACACATTTACAGCAGAACAAGGAGCGGTCGGAGAGGCGGTGGAGGATCTCGAGAACGACATCCTCTGTGAGGCTGGCCAGTGCGTTCCTCTTGTTGGGGGCCTTCTCCATTTTGTAGAGCCTGATCGTCAGTGTGCAGTAGGATGAGAGCTTCCTTACTAATGAGATCACTAAGATCTTGTTTGGATCAATCCACATGTGTTGGGGTGGATTGAAGTGGATCTTGAGCTAAATTTTACAGCAATCTATTTCAACACATATGGATTGAGATGAATCTGACAATATCCAAACAAGGCTTAAAGAGAAAAATAATCCGACAAAGATCCATCATTGAAGTGCGAAGGCATACCTTGCCTTTTGGATCTGGTGGCGGCGTGACGCGAGGCGTGCACACAAATAGAAAGAGAGGAACAACGAGCCAGCCGTGCGGGAGGTGGCGGCTGCCGGCCGGCCTTATTAGGGCTTCAATCCAGATAAAGGGTCTAGATTCAATACGCACTAATGGACGACATAGATTTTGAGCATCAACCATCACCGTATGAATGTACTGGCGGTTGTAACACCACCGTAACGCACTGACATTGACTTCGGATCACCAACGGTCTATTCAAACAACGTTTGCTTCACCGTCGGTTCATACAATAATCCATCAGTGATAACCTTATCACCGCCGGATCTTATTGTAGTGCACACGTCCATCATGGCACCGGTAGTAAAAAAACTATTATCTCTGCTAGTTCCATCGGGCGTCGGACATAGGACGACCAGCCGGCGGTGAAAACCCTTCTACCGCTCGTTTGGCGGACGACACGGCGGCGAAGGGCGAGATTCTGTTCACCGCCAGATCATACGCTGAGCTGATGGCGAAAGCAACCATCCCCGCCGGTTATTCGGCTAGGAGGGACCCCATAGGTCATAAGCCAGCGGTGATACGTATCACCGCTGGTTATCTCAAAACTATTGGTGAAGGTCCCGGTGGTGAATAGACTTTCTGTAGTAGTGAGATGGCTCGAAGATACACTCTGGTTTCTCGGCGTTACACTCATTTTTAATGTAGTGGTCTTTCTTATTTACTTTATGCCATGTATTTACTTACTTTCCACATTGCCTTTGGGTGCTTATCTCTTGTAATGGAATAGTTGATTTAGGCTATTGTTAGTGTCACTTCTTATGGGTTATACTTAGATCACAATGATGAAAAATGTGGATATAGTTTGTTCTATTTTCTCGAGATTGTCTTTATCTACAATTGCAATAGAGATAGCCTTTGATAGTGTAAACATGGTGTATAGACTAGAAATTTGCTTGGAGTGTTTTTTGTACCAATGAATAGTGTCATAGGTGGCAGATGGTGACAACCCTATCTATCTTATGTATATTCCACCACATTAGGGCAACTCAGTAGGCCATGATTTGGAACTAACCGCCCTCTTCTCATCCCTGTCTATGCTAGAGGTTCTCTAAGTCCCAATGTTAACAGGGGAGAATATTAGGTTGGAACTTTGTTCCACTTAAAACTATATATGGAGTTACAATAAGCTGAGGTGACAACTCTTGCCTTGCTTTCTCTACCCAAGTGACACTAGCATAGTCATTTCTTTTACCTTGTTATAAGTAATGGAATAGTCCCATCTCATAAACCTCTTGATCTCAACTTGTTGTCCTCCCATTTTTCATTCTATCGCTCTTCTAGTCTTCTATTTATTTCAGGTGTGGAGATATCTTTGTTAGTCATGATTGAGACTTATATATTTATCACGTACCTCCACTTTGGTTTAGCTAGCATTTTAATTACTGTGTGACCCTTTGTTTGTTATCAATATCCTTTAACCATTGCTTCATTGAGAAAAAAAATACATTACCCTAGAATACTTGTCAGGTAAAATACTATAATGCCGTTCCATACGCTTGTGGATTTATTATTCTAATAGTATAAGAAATGCCGACATTGACCCATCCATTTATTAAATTCCTATTTGCATCTTTACGTTTTTCTTATTGTTTACTCATCGTTCATCCACATGTTCAGTCCATATCTGTGACCAATTACCATGTAATACTTATCTAAAAATAACGAGTAATCATACGTTGGTTTTCAGAACAAAATCGTTTTAGAAGGGAAAATTGGTTTATATGCAGTTTTCCTATTTTACTAATTTATTTAAGATTCTGACCAACTGAACAAGCACCGAGTGCAAACAAAGAAATTTTTGGAAGCGATAGTTTTTATTTATTTCCACTTAAATTTTCAGAGAAGCATCTTTTTTCTACGCAATACATTTGCTTTGTTTGAACCCTTAAAATTTTGACTCATTTAACTCGCTGTCCACAGTGAAACCTGTCTTTCCCCCTGCGGCCCTGCCCATACAACTTGAATTGAGGTTATTTATTTTTGGAAGGTGGACACATAAGGTATTTACACAAGCTGGATGAACAACTTTTTTCCGAATAGTAAAATCGAAATATTTTGTTTTCATTTCAAGGCATCAGTTTTGCCTTGTTTTTTTTTCTTGAGACGCAAGATAATATAATTCGCCACTGAACTAAAATAAAAGATAAATTCAAAGCATGCGTCATGCGTGCCTCTCGTCAAAAAGAAGTTGAACATCATGCGGCAAGTTAAAAAAAGAAAACTCAAAAGATCACGTGGCGCCACCTCCTGGTTGGGCTGAGGCAAAAGCATTACTGTATGTTCGGCTCTATCGCGCATGCATCACGGCATACACATAATCCGGGATATTTCCATTCCCTTTGAAGCGCCCCTCCCCTGGATCAGGATGCATACATGGCTGGATTAATTAACATAACAATTATAGAAGGAAAAAGAGAAGGAAATTAAGGAGAGCAACCGCCTCCGCTAATCTCTCGGTGCATGCGTGGTGCGGAAGGAGTCGTGGAAGTGGCCAGCAGTCATCGAAGATCCAAACGACGCGCTCCGCGTCGCTGCGCCGCCGCTACCGCTAGTGATCTCTTGTTAGTTACACACTACTCGATCGGCAGGGAGCGAGGACTCAGCAAAAAGCATCCGTCGCCTGCGAACCGCTCGTGTCCGGCCGCCTCGGTCGCCGCTCCGCTCCGCTCCTCTCCCAGTCCCAGCTCGTGTTTGTTTATAAGGAGCGGAGGCCTCCCTCGTTTTCCTCCTGTTTCCTTCCTTCCTTAAGGCTAGAACAGATTACATATATATTGTTGTTGAGAGTGCTCGATCGATCCATCCATCGATCGATGCGAAGCTACTGAGATTGGCGATGGACATTTCGGAGCTGCACAAGCTGGCGTTCCTGAGGGTGAAGCAGATGGAGCCGCAGAACGCCGGCAAGATCCTCGGCTGCATCCTCCTCCGGGAGCCCGACGACGACGAGATGGTGCAGCTCGCCTACGGCAACGACGCCGCGGTGCACGCCAAGATCAGCGACGCCAAGGCCACGCTCGCCGCCATCTACGCGCGCTGCTCCGCGCACCACCACCACCACCACCACCACCAGATGGGCGCCGCTGCCGCGCACAGGGCCTCCGCCGCCGCCGGGTACCACCCGGCCGGCGCGCGCCACCACTTCGCCCCGGCGGCCACAGCCGCCGCCTTCGGCTTCCACTACTGGCCGGAGCACGCGGCGCCAGTGCCCAAGGCGCAGCAGGCGGAGGACTTCTCGCTCGTGGACGCCGCGGCCGCGGCTGCCGAGGGCCACTACGCATTGATGCCGCAGCAGCAGCAGAACCACAACGGCCTCGTCGACGACCACCAGCACAACTACGCAGCCGCCGCCGGAGGGTACTACTACGCCGCCGCCGAGGACGCGTTCCACAATGGCGGCGCCGGCGCCGGCGCCGGCGGGGGCCTGCCGCCGAGGGCCGCGGCCAGGCGCGCGAACGGCCTGTCGACGCGGCGCCCCTGTCACTACTTCACCAAGGGCAAGTGCAAGAACGGCCAGAACTGCCACTACTCGCACCACCACCACCACCAGGTCTACTCCGCCACTGACGGGTTCGCCGACGACGGCCACCAAAGCGGTGGCGGCGGCACCACACCCGGCGCGCTGGAGAAGCTGGAGCTGGAGATCATCGAGCTGCTCAACTCGCGGCACGGCCAGCCGCTGTCCATCGCGTCCCTGCCCACGCTCTACGGCGAGAGGTACGGCAAGGGCCTCCAGGCCGAGGGCTACCTCACCGAGAGCCAGCGCCATGGAAAGGCCGGCTTCAGCCTCACCAGGCTGCTCTCCCGACTCAGCAAGATCAGTATCATCGAAAGGTACATATATGCAACGAATTAACATTCAGTTTATTTATCAGAGCAATGTACTGTAATAATCATTGGATGGACAAGTAAATAAATATAATGCACACGCGCAGGCCGCACGGGCAGCACTCGGTGGTTCTGGCGGAGGACGCCGCCAGGTACACGGAGTTCAGGGGCGAAAGAGGAGGTGGAGGAGGAGGGGACATGGGCTCCGTCCCAGCCAGCTCGCACCAGATATACCTCACCTTCCCCGCCGAGAGCACCTTCATCGAGGAAGACGTCGCCACTTACTTTGAGTACATATACTATATATGCCATCTTTGATTTGGTTTCAATTTTGATGTTAAAGATGCATATATGCGCATTTAAATTTTGAAGTTGTCATACATTATTCGAAACCAAGGCAATAATGTGTTGACCTGCGGCATTCTGCACTCTGCAGGCAGTATGGTCCGGTGCGTGACGTGAGGATCCCATGCCAGGAGAGGCGTATGTTTGGTTTTGTGAGCTTCCAGAACCCGGAGACGGTGAGCACCATTCTCATGAGGCGCAACCCACATTTCATCTGTGGATCAAGGGTCCTTGTTAAACCCTACAGAGAGAAATCCAAGTGCATCGAACGGTAATCAATATAATTTGCATGCTCGAGTTAGTTTCTAGTTTACTTTTATTTTTTGATAGCATGCTTTTGTGTGTGCAACCTAATAGAAGTTCCAGCTATCCCAGGACGTGCGTGGACAAGATGAAGCCGATGCAGTACTACCCTACCCGCTTTGTCGAGATTGATGATCATCCAAACTTTTATCCAGGTAATGGCCAAATAACCTTATCACCTCTATATTTTACGACTATCCGCGACCACTGACATCATCGACTACTTATCTGTTCGCTCTAGATGAATACGAGCCTTCAAGCAGGATGGTGAGAAAGCAACTAGCAGAGAAGTGGGAGAGGATGATCGAGCTCGAGAGGAAGCGCTTCACGGGTGCAGTCAGGCTCGACTCGTTGCCGCAGCAATATGCCTACTTCGATTGCAGCATTGGGGACGATGGTGTGAATCCCCTCAATTGCCTCCCGGCATCAGGTCTGCAATGCCACCATTTTTCACCTTAGAGTTCCATCTTTAACCATAAGGTTAAGTCTGCTTTTCTTTATCCAATTTCTTTTTTCCTTGCTAATCAGATTCCAAAGACGATGTCGACCAGCTGATGGACCATCCCCTCATGACGCCAGATTCCTTGGAAATGGTCTCCACGAGCCAAGCTCCCCAAACACAGTCAAGCAACAACTACGATGACAAAGAGAGGTACCACGTTATTACTTACTAGTAAACACAATTAAACATTGCATTGCACGCTAGCATTAGTCTTGGTATGTCATCTATGTAACATTTCTATGGATAACACATTCCTAATTATTGCAGCAATCAGATCGAACTCCTCCCAGAAAGTCCATTCGCAACAGCCGTGCTGGGTGGAAACAACATATCCACAATCATGTAATGGAAAGGAAAAGGGAGATAAAGCATCCCGGACCCTTAATAATCAGTGATTGATTCAGTATCTTCTTAAGGTCCATGGTTTGCAACATTCTTAAGGTCCAATGGTTGACACCGTTTTTACACAGGACAACATATATATGAAACAACAGTTCTTTTGTTGTAGATAGAAAGAAGGGAGGAGAACTCTCACCGTCTTAATTAGGGGTCACAGGACAAAGACAGTTCGTGTTCATTTTATACTTTAATTAGGAGAGAGGAATGGAAAACAGCAGTAGCAGCATGCAGGATGAGGACAGAAAGAAAAGCCACACTGGTAAGTTTTATACAAGTGTGTTGTCTAACTATAAGGAATAGAATAATGTGACATGTTAATTAGTTGTTCTAATAACATATAATGATACATGCATATTGGTGTTGTATCATTTGTTAAAGTTATAGTAGAAGTAGTCATCCCAGATCGTCTATTTGTACAACTTTTGGTCAGTAACGAATTCAAGGCACAATTTCAGTTTCATTCTCTATTACTGTTTGTAAATTTGTCATACTTATTTTTTTCGATTGCAATAATCATTCTAAAAAATTAAACTTTATTTTGGATACAATGGCCCCGTTTGCTTCGCTGGAAAAACAAGCTGAAACACTGTTCCGGCTGATTTGCTATGAGAGAAAAATACTGTTTTGGCTGAAAAAATAAGCTGAAAAGTACGGACTATAAGAGAAGCGAACAGGGAAGCTGAAAAGTACGGATTTTAAGAGAAGCGAACAGGGCCAATAAGAATGTGTCCGGTAATGCACTTTGGTTAACCTTTGCTTTCACAATGGCACCTTGGGCCTGTGTTTGGATAGAGACCTGAATGATTTTCCAGGTAAAAAGTATTGCCTGAGAGTTGCCTGGAAATTGCCTGGCGAGACAAGTTAGGTGATAGGCTATTTGATTGGAAGCCTTTGCCTGCGGAGAATAACAAGAAGATGTAATATATTCGTATCTATTGTAACTCTAATATTATTTGAGTAATATAAATCATTATAATATAAATCAACGTATTTTTATAATAATAATATACATAAAAATATAAATAGTTTCAATAGTTTATTTACTAACCGTGCGTACACATATTTAACTGAGAAATGGATAAGAAAATGAAAAGACGTTTGGGCCACACCATCATAACCTGCTGAACTCATCTATTGAACAAGGAGAGTATTTGGTAAGATTGATTCAGCTTCGTTTTATGCCTTCCTTTAATGTAACCGCGTGTAACAACAAGGGAAAAAAAGACAGAAAAAATAAAACCTACACGTATTCCAACTAGCACTGATCACCCAGGCAACCATGTTCCAGCAGCAAGGCGCTCGTTTTCATCAGCCTGGCGGAGGCCACGCTTGCCTGTTCAGGCACATATCCAGGTTTCCATCCAAACGCACTGCAGGCAGCATTTAGGAAGGTGAGAGGCCAGGCAAAGTTTGCTCCAGGCTATGAACCAAACAAGCCCTTGTACATCAGCAGCAAGAACCACTTGGACAAGGCAACCTATTACAATTAGTGCCTTGTATGACAGTGCAGGCTGTAGTCATGGAACTCATCTGAGCTGTCGTCATGGAACTCATCTGATCTTGATATGAACCTTGGGGCCGGCTTTCCCTTTGCCAATCACAAAAACACCTAAACATGCATGCTGAAAAAAATTTAGGGGCCACGAAATATCTGTTGATGCCTGATGTGACAAGCTAATGAATTCGTGATGATGATAACAAACACAGTCGCTATCCCTTTATTTGTTGCCCAAAGGGCATCATGAATCATGACCCAACCTCAGAATTGATGTGCCTCTCCCTCTGGTGGAAGGAAATCTTGTGTGGATAGTGTTATGGATCTAGTGGGGTCAGCATGCTCTCGCTTTTGTGGCTCTCATCCCTGCTGGTGGCTTGCAAGTAGGATAAGATTGCATGTGACCAACTCAAACACCAACTATACCAGTAGTGTTTTCGGAATAAATCTAGTTATATATATGTAAGGCCACATAGAAATATTATGGTAGTTTTTACTCAAAATAATATATGTTTCTTTCATGACCTTCATGCAACAAATACAGTACTATTATATTCCTAACTAGTTGTTCCTAAAATCAACTTATCTTATATGTAAGTAGACATGTTATATATACTTCACACATACTACTTCAGTTCTGAAATATATAAAAATCCTTTATATTTCAGAAACAAGGTAGTATATATCATGCATACCACTGCTGTTATACTGAAGGTTGTAGAAATATTTAATTTATATTCACACTAGCTAGCCTTGTCAACTCGAATGCCCTTGAGATCACCTGGATCCCACCTCCCACGTGGATCCAGACTATGACAATGTGCTAAAGCTGAAGCACATAGATATATTGAGGTTCGGATTGCGATGGTCTAGTGGACTCTTGCCGTGCATGGCTACAGATTTGTCCTTGAGCTCGTGTTGTGTAGTCCTTGCGCTTGAGACTCCTTTGTCTAGGGTCAAGGAAGTTGTCCATTCGGCTTTATTTTTGTCAGTAGTTGATCAAGACTTCACGAGTGGCAATGATACTACTTATTAGTGACCGAGTGACTGGTGGAGACACAAACGACATGTTTGGTCCGGTCATGTTTGTCGTTTGTCCATGGCGATCTGTGCAACTTTTTTTTTTAGTAAACTGAGCTATGTTGGTGTGTGTTTGTAATGGTTCTCACCCCTTTTTTATACTAGCAAATATATCCGTAGGTGGGCCTACGTTATGATCGTATCATGTATTTCAATTAGTTGTATAATTTTAATCCATATCGTACCTGGACTTCTACTACTCACGTGTTTAATTAGGCAAAAACCCCGCGCGTTGTTGCGGGATTTGTAGAAGGTATTTTATTTATTTATATAAATCAAACTAAAAGAAAAGATCTAGAATATGTATACCATACTATAGATTCACGTTATAGCTATTGGACACAATTTTTTGAATGCTGATGCTCAAATGATATTAGGATGCGCCAAAGGTTTCGGTGGGAGCCAATCGTCAAGATGATTGAGAAATACTATAAGACTACTTAATTAGAGACCATACGAATTCGAAGTGCCAATTGTTTAGGTAAAACCTGGTAAATTTCTCTTGGTGATCAGAGAGTAAGGAGCTCTTGATGCTCCTACATATTTCTGTATGGGAGAAAAACTAAGAGAGCGGGTATTTGAACGTAGATAAGGTTTTGGGAATCGGATCAAAAGAAAATAATTAGTTGCAATATCAGAATGAATAATATAACAATACATACACTGGCCAGGATTAATCGTATAGCCTGGTGACTGGCCATCGTCTACCAGAGTTTCGAAAGTGACTTGTGCAGAACCCAACGTCTGGTTTTATAAGTGTCGTGGTGGCCACCGGCAGGCGGCGTCGTGTCGGTGGTGAGGTACTGTCGGCAGTCTATCAAGGAGTATGCCTACGGTAGTAGATAAATCGATGTAGATACGCGTAATAGGAGCCGGATGGTGACACAAGCGCAGAAACAAGCGATTTAGACAGGTTCAGGCCGTCTAATCGACGTAATACCCTACGTCCTATGTCTTTGGTGGATTGTATTGAATATGAGATGTATTCGAGGGGGTCCCTACCTGCCTTATATAATCTGGAGGGTAGGATTACAAGTCGGTTTAGATTTAGATCTATTCGGCTATATGGTAAGTATTTACAAGAAATACGATATCTATCATATCCGAACAGATCTTTCTCCACCGCCAAGATATTTTCTGATTGCCTTGCGGTGCACGCCGACCAGAGCCAAGCACCATAGGCCTTGATCTTATGGGCTGGACCTCCCCTGGTGGTGGGGCCCATGTCCATTGCCATGGGTAACTAGGGTTATACCCTCCACAGCTAGTCCCCGAGCGCCTTGTATCCGCTGAGCAACGCCGTCTTGAGCAGGTCTGAGCAGTTTAACTTGGAGTCAGACAGTTAATCTGACAATCCAACAAATTTAAATGGTAATCCAATCAATATAATGAAGTGCCAACCAGTTTGACTGGTAATCCGACCAGTTTAACTGGTAATCCGATCAATAAAATGAAGTGTCGACCAGTTTAACTGGTCAACAAGCCTCGAACATACTCAAGTAAGGCTTGCCAGAAGGATGTAAAGAGTTCAAGTTTAAAATTTATAAAAAATTCCAACTTAGGTGAAGTGTACACACTTAGACTTCGTTGGTGAAGTCAGATGATCATCATCCATGACTTAGTCAAAGAGGATGTGTCGGGTTCATAGACCCGGGGTCCCTCAGGGACCGGCTTCCACGCCAGGGCTCGACCCAAATAAGGCAGCACACAACTCATGGCCCGGCCCAAGAGTCTAAAACAACGGGCCGGAAGGGCGGTCCAGTCACCGACCGGAAGGTCTGGACGAAGAGGAACGGCGTCCGCTCGTCAACTACTTTGGCCCACTTCTCCGACAGGAGCGCCGCTTCAGACTCCAGCCACCTCCGAACGGCCTCTCCGATTGGAAGGCCTGGCCCAAAGCGCTACTTCCGACTTCGACCCCGCGTCGCCGACCGGGGGGCATAGAAACCCTGCTCACCGCTCTTCTCTGACTGGCACGGCCAGAACCGACTGGGGCCATCCGACCAGGAACACCCGCTCGGAAGGAGCTAGGGGCGAACAGAGAAAGCAAGCCAGGGCGCGTAAGTCAAACCATGATACCAGGGACCATACCCTGTACACCTACAGGAACAGTACTCTGCAAACACCCTGACACAAACAGTATTGTAGGCACCGACGTTTTCCTCTACAGTATTGTAGGCGCCGTTAAAACTCCCGTACGATAAGGCCCCCCACGTGCCTCCAGGTATCGATAGTGTTGTGGGCGCCGGGATTTACCGTATGGGGTGAACGTGGTGACACTCCTCACATGCCTTAGGCATCAAACAATATCTACAGGTACCGACATCTACCATTCCTGAAGAAGGCAAATACAACCTCCCACATGCATCTGA